GCTTTGTGAAATAGCCACCAGAATGTGTGCATGTCTTCCACATGTACAATGGCAAAGACTCCCAGCTTCAGCCCCCCGAGTGCCCAACCTACAATAGCACAAGTGGAAAAATTATCTGGGACCTGGCTTTTCCACTATTCCAAAATGGGTGACACATCTACCTAGATAATTATTAAACAAGCCACTTTTCCGAAGACTGCATCTGATGTTATCACACGTCACTAAAATATTAGTTCCTCTTATTTTTAACAGCTTATCATTTCCATGTTTCTAATATCTGTACTGTTCATTTTTCTGCTGTCTTGATTGACCATGTCTCTACCTTTCACCTTAGCTGACCCTGTCCTGTTTACCAACAATGCCTCTGCCTGTCTGGATTGTTTTTAAACCACATTTCTGCATTCCACCTGAACTGACAATGTCTCTGCCTGATCTTTTTCCCTGCTACGGTAGAAGTGGGATTCAAGATAACACAGGGTTGTCACATAAGTGAGGGGCTACAGAGTAGTGTTCCAAGTAGAGAAAAACTGTTTTTGGTTTTCTCCAAGTTTTGTAATTCCCATATCAGAGGTTGTTAGTCCAGAGGCATCAATGATATTGGGTGGGAAGAAGCCTCTACTCCAGTGCCCAGGTCTTATGTGATCGAGGCCCTAGGCCTGGTTTTCCTGCTTGTTGCCTGGAACAATACTTTTACTGTTCTGACCATATATCTGCCTGCTGCCTGTAATGACCCAGAACTTTTTATGGACCATGATCCTTCCTTCTGCCTGGACTAATACTTTGGCTGTGCTGACCAAATCTCTGCCTGCTACCTGTACTGACCCATGACTTTTTATGGACCATGTTACTCCCTGTTGCCTGGACCAATACTTTGGCTGTGCTGACCATATCTCTGCTTGCTGCCTGTGCTGACCCAGTAGTATTTATGTACCATATTCCTGCCTGCTGCCTGGATAATTTCCTTTCTGTTGCTGACCACATCTCTGTCCTGCATGAATGTTCTCCTCTGTGGATAACTGCTCTACTGAAAGCACAGGTAATCTTTTATTTACCCTTTGTTCAGCTAGGCTGTGAAAGAGGCTCACACATGTGGTATTGCTATACCCAGGAGGAGTACAAAAATTTATTTTGTGGTGTAATTCTTGGTATGTCCATGCTGTGTGTTTGAAGTATCTTATAAATTGACAACTTTGTGGAAAAACATTTTTTTTTCATTTTCTTTCCACATTTTCCAAAAACTTGTGGAAAAAATGACATGTTCAAAAGACTTATTATGCCTCACAGACTATACATTGGGGTGTTTGCTTTCCAATATGGGGCCATTTTGTAAGTGTTTCTTTTATCCTGGTGTTCCAGGGCCTTCAAAACTGTGATAAGTAGTCAGGAAATTGGTTGTGGAATTTATGCAGCTAGAATGCCTGAAGGTGCTGCTTGGATGTTGGGACTCTCTTTGTGGCCAGGCTGTGAAAAAGTCTCACACATGTGGTATCACCATACTCATGGGTATCAGAATGTATTTTGGGGTGTAATTCTTGCTATGTCTATGATGTGTGTTAGAAATATCTTATAAATTGACAACTTTGTGTAAAAAAATAATAATTTTTCATTTTTTTTCCACATATTCCAAAAACCTGTGGAAAAAAAAAATGATATGTTCAAAAAACTCATTATACCTCCTAGAATATACATTGGGGTGTTTGCATTCCAAAATGGATCATTTTGTGGGTGCTTCTATTGTCCTGGTGCTCCAGGGCCTTCAAAAGTATGATAGGTAGTCAGGAAATTAAATGTGTAACGTATGCCCCTAAAACACCTGAAGGTGCTCTTTGGATGTTGTGCCCCTCTATGTGTTTAGGCTGTGAAAAAGTCTCACACATTGTGGTATCACCATACTCAGGACTAGTAGCAGAATGTATTTTGAGGTGCAATTGCCATTTGAGAAAAATCTAAAATATTTATAAAAATATTTTAGCAAACAATTATTAAGAAGGAAAATGTGTATGTCATAGGTGAACAAAAGACCTTGTTGTGTATATACTTTATATGTATAGTATACTAACAAGAACATTTGCCTATTGTAACTAACCACTTCCATTTCTGTAGTATGTAGTTTAAAAATGAAATAAGGATTTTGATTGCTATTGCAATCAAAGAAAATTACTTGCTTGGTTTAACCCAGTCCCTATGCTCCACTTTTAAACTCAAGTGGCCAAGCTGTTTTTCCAATGTTTCCATCGTTTTTTTATTTTTCCCTTTCAGCTTTCAGAGTTTGTAAAATACCCCCAAACCATATATTTTCTAAAAGTATTGAACCAGTAGAAAAAAAGGAAGTTGCTAAATTTTTTTAGGCCCTGTGATATTTGCGCAAATGTTTATCAAATCAATATTTTCACATAAAATACACTAAAATCACTATTAGTGGATGGACACATGGCAAAATGTAAAAAAATCCTGCTAAATTCCAATAACAAGTATTTGTAAATTTTAAATTGCGCCTTTTTATGAAATTATGAAATGGAATGTACGCAAAACTATACGTAAATAAAAACAATTTAGTCTCAAAATCTGGATCTTACCACTTACAGCTTTCAGAATTTGTAAAAGACCCCACCAAAACCATATATTTTGTGACATGACCTGTAGAATTAAAAAACGTTCTACTGATTTCTTAGACCCTGCTGTAGTTGCGCAATGTTCATCAAATTGCTATTTTCATTAAAAATACACTAAAATCATTATTATTGCACACAAACACAGCACAACTTTTTAACATTCCTGCTAAATACTAAAGCCTCCTCATTCACATGGTGCTTACTAAAGTGTATGTACGTGGATGGCCCTGTTTATCCACCTGCAACATCTGCACGAGCATAGCCGTTGCTCCCAATGTGACATCCATGTGGGTGTGGGTGCATGACCCTGAACGCAGTCAGCGTGAGCCCAGGGACATGCACCTGGACACACACAGACATCAAGTTGGGAGCAACAGCAGTTGTTCATGCAATCATTCACCTATTTAAATGGCAGTTTTTTCTTTATAAATGTCAATTTTGCTATAGTAGATTGTGTGCATTCTATACTGTAGATGCACCACTTCACAGGTAGGTTAAGGGCATCCTCCAGGCCTTTAAAACTTTTTTTTATTCATTGTGTGTGTTGCTTTTTTTTTTCTCTTTTTCACCTAATTTTATTGCTATCACATATGGGGTTAATAACCCCTTCTCATAGTATAACCAAAATGAGAGGTCTTTCAGACCTCTAATATCCTACCAATGAAGCTGTTCAAGCAGATAATGCTTGATCAGCTTCTTTCCCAGGCAGTACTATCAGGAAATTATAGCAATGAACCCAGAAATGATAAAGTGCTTGTCCCTTCCAGCTTCATTCACTGAAGAGGAGATTAGTGAATGGATGTTCACTGATTTCTCTAAATTCCAGCGCAGTGTCCTTACAGTGAAGCACCAACACACACCGCCCCCCAGTAAAACACTCCTGGCACACAGTTAACCCTTTGATTGCCCCTCATGTTAATTCCTTTATGCCTAGTACCATTAGTACAGTGTCAGTGCTTTTTTTGAGCACTGATCACTGTATTGGTGTCATTGGGGATGTCAGTGACACCAAGTCAGTTCCCAGTTCCCCTAGTATCAGAAAGTCCTGCAGTCCCACTATAAGTCGCTGATTGCTGCCATTATTAGTAAAAAAAAAAAAAAAATTCTAGTATCTATATCGCCATTTGAAAACACAATAAATTTCACGTAAACCAATTCATTTACACGTATTGGGATTTTTTTTAGAAATTACATGTAGCAGAATACATTTTGCCCCTAAATTTATGACAAAATTAGATTTTTTCAAAAATTTTTACTGGACATGTTTAATAGCAAAAAGTAAAAATTGTCGGTCTTTTTCTTTTTTATAGTGCAAAAAATAAAAAGCACACAGGTGAACAAATACCACTGAAAGAAACCTCTGAACAAATACCACTGAAACCCAGTGCGATTCAGGAACGGATTTATGGTGCAGGTGCAATGTGATTTGAGCCATGCAACATGTATGGCTCAAATCGCACCACATAGACATTTGCATGTAATTCACACAGGAAATTACATGCAAATTACATGCGGTGTCCCACATCCCATAATGTGAACCCGGGCTGAAGGTGCCAATGAATGTGCACTGAGTCATGAATATATAATACTTAAAATGTTGAGTTTTATTACAATTTCATAAAAACAATCCATTAAAATCTATAATCCCAAACAGGTATGTTGATAGTATCCACAAATTTGTATATTGTCACATAAAGCATTTTACCATTCACTAGATAGAATATACAGTATACACTGCCATACAATCTATAGTTGCTTTTCCCTTTCATAATGCAGCAATGATTGATAGTAGAGTTTTGTGGAAAAGTTGACTTATTCAGTTGAATAGTCTACTTCTTCAGAAAGTAGCAAGACACCTAAAGGTAATTAAAATTTTTATATATATATTAGATAAATATATATATCAGTTATCACAATATTGTATCAGAACATACAGATCAACTGCTTACATAGTACCCCTACTCATTCACAAGAAAAAAAAAAAATGTAAACACACCACACACTTAACAAATCCTTCAAATCTTTTAAAACCACTTGCCTACCGGGCACTTATATCCCCTTCGTGCCCAGGCCAATTTTCAGCTTTCAGAGCTGTCACACTTTGAATGACAATTGTGCAGTCATGCGACATTGTACTAATATGACATTTTTTAAATAATTTTTTTTCACACTTTCTTTTGGTGGTATTTAATTGCCACTGGGTGTTTTTTTTTTTTGCTATAAACAAAAAAGAGCAAAAAATTAAAAAAAGAAAAAACTTTTCTTTGTTTATTTTATAAAATTTTGCAAACAGGTAATTTTTCTCCTTCACTGATGTACATTGATAAGGCTGCACTGATAGGCAGCACTGATAGGCAGCACTGATGGGCACTGATGAGGTGGCATGGATAGGCAGCACTGATGGGCACTGATAGGTGGCACTGATGAGGCAGCACTGATGATGCTGCAATGATGGGCACTGATAGGAGGCACTGATGGGCACTGATAGGTGGCACTGACTGATGGTACTGTCTGGAAGCACTGCTGGGCACTGACTGGTGGCACTGCTTGGCAGCACTGATGGGTGGCACTGCTGTGCAGCGGTGTGTGGCACTGCTGGGCACAGGTGGATGGTGCTGATGGGCACTGGTGTGTGGCACTGCTGGGCACTGATCATCAGACCACTGATGATCAGTGCCCTAATGATCAGTGTCGATCTATCCTCTGACAATTGCCGGTTATTGGCAGTACTTTCCTCACGCTGTGACAGTGTGAGGAAAGTGCAGCCGATAACCGGCAACTGTATTTACTCAGTGATCTGCTGCGTCATCGGACATAGCTGATCACGTGGTAAAAGGCAGCTGTGATTGGCCTTTTACCACATCACAAGATCAGCTGTGTCCGTAGGACATGGCGATCACGGAGCTCTCCAGGTGCGCGCCGCTGGGGGGCATGCGGGGAGGGCAAGTTCTGGGAGGACGTCATATGACGCCCTCCCAGGACTGGACAACCGCACTGTAGTCGCCATTAGGATATAGCGCTGTTGCCAAGTGGTTAATCAAAGGATGTCTGTCATAGCATTGTAATTCTACATCAATCACAATTATTGACACCCATCAACCCACCAGAGAAAAGAAAACATGCCAACCCCCTGGTAAGATACCTTCCCAATTTTGAGGGCATGTAGCTTGGTAAGGTTCGGGGGGATCAAAACTGATAAATTAATGTGAGAGCTGTGAGTCAATTTTTTATGCATAGAACTAGTGATGGACCAAACACCCTCTTGTTCGGTTCGTGGTCGAACATTCAAACCTAATGAATGTTTGACTGTGAACTTCGAACATAATGCAAGTCTATGGGATTCAAACTTGAAAATTCAAAAGTGCCCATTTTGAAGGCTTATATGGAAGTTATTGGCTATAAAAGGGGTATGGGGACTTGGGTACTGCCCTGAGGAACATGAATCATGGAAAAAAATTTAAAAAGTACCATTTTTAAAGGGGCAGTTATTTATCATAAAAAAAAAAAACCACACAGACAGGCCTTAGGCATACGCAGGCAAGCAGCATGGCCATTTTGTGCTCTCACAGTAAACTTAGTGCACACTAAAATGCCCAAAATAATTTCCTTGGCAGAGTAGTACTAGCAAACAGCGATTTTCGTGGTCTGTGTGAACAGAGTAGGCTTAGGAGGGAATAGGCAGGGAAGTGGTGCTGTGGCCTTTTTGCATTCTCAAAGTCAAGCTGAACTTTTCTGTGCATACAAAAATTTTCTCAAATGTGCAAACAAGTTTACGTTTTTGACCCAAAGATATTGAAATCTATTAATGGGACAAATGATAGTTCTTTTTCTAGGACTCCAATGTGGCCAGGGTTTAAAACAAAGGAGGAAAGATTGTAAATCCTTATTTGTTGCTACTAGTCAGCTCCAATTCCAAGGTATTCTTTGAACCTCTAATTTATAACTCCACTTCCCCCTCCTTGTGCTTGTATACCCACACTGGTCCTGATTTCTCAATGATTGGGTCGATTGAGATAAAAAATTATTCTGATTATCCCACACAAGATCTGCCTTATCGATCTCTTTTCCCCTGTCCTCTCTGTGGTTGTGGTCTGAATTCTTTGGTTAACTGCTGCCTTGTTTGACTGTCCAGCTTTGAGCTGTTACAGTCATTAGATGTATCAGATAGATTTTATGTTGTGAAAACTGCCAATTCTTTTGGGACCAAGTATAACCTTTACCCTGTACAAAATCTCTAAATTTTCTATGCTTTTTTATGTCTTCTTTATATTGTTCTATATGTCTTTGTAAACTCTCCTCCAGGGCTTTGAAGTCGATAAGTCATTATGGGACTTAAACTTGAGAATGTTTGGCTGCTCTTCTTTCAATTGTGAGTTTAATTTTTCAAAATGTTTCCTCTCAAAATCCAAGAGGTAGTGCATTGTTAGTAAAGTTTTCTCAGTCTGAAGTTTGTCCCAATATTCCACAAATTTCTGATTATTGTTGGGGGAATGAGTTCATAAATTTCAATCCATGCACAGTGATCTTCTATATAATATACATCTCTAAACTCGCCACCACCCACCAAAAACATTTATGATTTTTATACAGTCTAGATATCCTCCTGAATGCAACTGTTATGGTAGGTTTCCTTTGACTAGGTGACTCCTGATTTGAAAAAACTTGGCTGGCTTCCATGGACAATGAACCAAAGTTAATTTCTTTTTCCAAGAATTGGAGCTGACTTGTAGCAACAAAGATAAATTAAGGATTTTCAATCTTTCCGCCTTTGTCTTAAACCCTGACCATGGATTGTCAATCTTTCTGCCTTTTTCCTAAACCCTGACCACATTAGTGTCCTAGAAATAGGATTATCGTTTGTCCCATCAATAGATTTCAATCTCTTTGATTGGGTCAAAGATATAAATTTGTTTGCATTAAAGTTGACATTAATAAAAGGAATATACAAACAAAAATAAAGACGAGCTATCATCATTGACCTCCACAAAGAGATTGAAAGTCTGAATCTCTACAATCAGTAAATGAGACAGAAATGTTGAAGTAAGGGACCCTTTTACTGATGTCAAGCTTAAGAGTGATCATACACCACCTTTCCCATAGGGGAGAAATATCCAGCTATTCATGAAACTGGTAGAGAATGGTTTAGGCCAGATTTGGAAGAGAAGAGTTAGGAATAATCACAATCTAACACCTGATGGAAATAAATTGATTCTAAAGGCTTACATTTTAAAACATAAATAAATAACAAACATATCTATACTTACCTGCTGTGTGCAGTGGTTTTGCACAGAGCAGCCCAGCTCCTCCTTTTCTTGGGTCACCCACCGACACTCCTGGCCCCTCCCTTTTGTTGGGTACTTCCACAGCAAGAAGCTTGCTATGGAGGCAACCACTGCTCATTGTGTCCATTCACACACACAGAGCCGCAGCTTGGCCCTACCCCCTCTCTTTTCTCATTGACCCACTGGCTGTGATTGACAACAGTGGGAGCCAATGGCTCCTGCTTCAGTATCAGCCAATGAGGAGAGGGAATCCTGGGATAGCCGAGACTCCAGTGCAAATCGGTGGATTGAGAGGGGGCTTATGTGAGTACTTGGAGGGGCTGAAGGGAGGATGCTGCACAGAGAAGGTTTTTTACCTTTATGAATAAAATGCATGAAGGTAAAAGACCTTGAGCCTTTAGAACCACTTTCAGACTTTGGAGATATTGGAAGATAATAAAGAATGTGTTGTTAAACCTGTAAATAGGGTTGGAAATGTGGTTCTGTTAGACAAGAACCACTATTTAAAAATGTGTTTATCAATTCTTTGTAATGACAATAACTGAGATACTGGCCAGAGAATACTCACGTAAGCTAAAACAGATCCTTGATAATACAATCAGTATGGAACTGATCTCAAAAGACGAATATAAATACATTCTTAATCTTAATCCGACAATTACAACATTTTATGCCTTACCAAAGGTACATAAAAATTTACAACATCCACCTGGCTGCTATATTATATCAGGAAATCAGAATTTAACTAATAGAGTGAGTAATTATGTGGACAGGATACTCTACTCACATGTTTATTCTTTATCCTCATATATAGAGGATACTCGTAAGTTGGGTAAGAAAATAGCTGACCTTACTATCAGGACAGATACACCATTTGCCATTCTAGACATGGAAGCACTATATTGTAGCATCCAACACCATCTTGGAATAGCTGCGAGTGCATACTTTTTACAAACTAGAGGAAGGGACGTTCAGCAGAATAATTATTTTGTCCTTGGACTATTACAATTTATACTCAAACATAATTACTTCCTGTTTAATAGGATGATTTACCAGCAGACAACTGGCACAGCAATGAGCTCTGGGTGTGCACAGACATATGTCAACCTTTCTTTAGGTTATTGGGAAAACCTGATTGTATTCTCAGAGGAAATGCATAAATACACCTTTAGAATCTTGCTGTTGGCAAGATTCTTGGATGACATGTTCATATTATGGGATGGCACTATCTTGTAATTCAGTCACTTTGTGGAGGTACTTAAAGCCAACAGGATTGGCAGGTACTTTACAAGTGAAATCCAAAAAGACACCATTATTTGTTTAGATCTGAAGATAAATAGAGGTGAATGTGGAAAATTTGAAACAACAATCTATCGTAAATCAACAGCTACAAATAATCTTTTGCATTAGTCCAACCATCACCCCAAATTATTGAACTGTGGCATTTCTACTGGGCAATTTTTAAGAGCACAATTAAATTGCTTGTCGCATGGAGCCTTTTTAGATGAAAGCAGGACTCTTGCTTTCACCCTAAAAGAGATCTTTTTAGGTCATTTTGTAAAGCCAGAGATACATCAAGAGACTTATTACTAACCCTACTACTAACTACTTAAATCTAAAAAGAAAAAAGACAATAATAATGTGCTGTGATTGATAGGCACCTACTCTCGACAATCTGGTGAACTTTATAATATCTTACAGAAATATTGATTGGTAATCCTGAATGATAAAGATCTGAAAGACTGCTTATCACCTATTCCATCTGTCACCTATGTATTGGTGAGTAAAGTATTTAGGAGATATACTGGTGCATAATCAATTTGAAGAGGTTAGAGGGGGCAAGCAATTGTCAGTAAGGCTGCCACAGAAACCAAATGGCACCTTCCATTGCGGCCATTGTAAAGCATGTCCTTTTGTTCCCACAGTGAAGAAATCTCAAACCCACCAAAACTGTGAAAAAATACAGATAAAGTATTTTTACAATTGTAGTTTCAGTGGACTTAAATATGACACCAGTTGTCCTTGCCCAAGTCTCTATGTTGGAAACATGATTAGACAACGTCCACTTGAATATGTAAATTATATACTCTTGTTGAAGGATAGACCAATAGCGAGGCATTTCTGGGATAAACATGGGGTAAACCCAATAGTTTAACATTTTGGGTTGTGCAGGACATTAACTTGGGACAGAGAAAAGGTGATTTGGATAAATTGCTCTGGGACCTAATGCTAGATAGATTTTTAGATTGGGCACTAGATAAGGCACTTTCGGGCCTTAATGAAGGTTTCACATTTATGCCTTTTATACATTAATAAATTGATTATGCTTGCTGTAGTCTGATGTTTCTACTTGAAACATTTAAAAGTTGGTAAAAACATGTATAGAAAATTGGTGGTATGAATCTAAACATGTATAGTACAATTGACACAATTGATAGTAGTTTGCCAATTGACCACAGAGGGGAGCTCTCTCAGCATGATGGAGCACCTGTCTGAACTGGATGCCTAAAATGCGCGTCCGGTGAGTGCGCATTTTAACACCACCTCCTCACGAATAACAGAGTCACCT